TGGGTTGTTTTGGAGTCAAAACAACCCAAACGCTGGGTCAAAACAACCCAATAGCTGGGTTTGTCCCTTTTTAACCCAGCATTTTTTAGAGTGTACGTCATCTTTAACAACACTGATTTTTTTAACTAATAGAGATTTTGGATGACGTACATTCCTCATTATTATGTGTGTAGTCAGATTTTACTTTGGACTTATACAGTAGCTACCAGACTCATATTTGCACTTGCAACTCCTGATTGTCATGTGTAAAAAGCCCTATTTAAAAGGACTGTGCCTGCTAAGTATTAACACTATGCAGCCAACCAACTTCCAAAGCATGTACCATGAGGACTTGAACTTACAAATATCTATAATTTGTCAAAGTTTTGGTAAGCACATATAGTTTCACATTAGTTATCATGAATGTACATTGTATGTTTGTGCCTGTTATTAACAACACTTAAGTGCTACATAATTACCATGTACATGCCATTAGTAAGTATAATGTATCTTATTAGTTACCATATACTGACACTACATGTAAGTGACCGTTATTACCCACACTTGTCTGTAAGTACTACATATGTTCCACGTATACCAAGTACAGTATGTGTCCTATTTGTTACCACATACAGACACAATAAACTCACATTTGTCCATAGGTGCTACATAATTACCATGTACGTACCATTAGTATGTACAGTAATGTGTCTTATTAGTTACCATATACGGATACATGTAATTGCCTGTTTGTACATACACACTCCGTATGTCCGTAAGTACTACATATTTGCCATGTACATACATTAGTAAGTATAGTAAAGTATCTAATTAGTTACCATGTACGGACACTACCTGTAAGTACCCACACTTGTCTGTATGTACAAACTAATTACCGTGCATGTACGACTGTTAAGTACAGCTGTGTTTCTTATTAGTTGCCATTCAGGTAAGTACCTTGTGTTACCACGCATTTGCCCGTAGGTACAAGATATTTACCATGTATGTACCAGGGAAGCACACGTACTGTAGAATAAAGTGATACCCATCAGGTAATTCAGTATGATTTGAGATGATCCAAAGAGCACCTTGTGTTTCAATGGAAGCAAGAACATCTGACCATCAGTACAAAGAAGCTCACATGATCAGCGTTATAAATTTGCTTACTTGATTAGTGACCTTGAAATAATGCAGAATCTCAAATATTTCTTCCTCATTTCCCATCATTTTCAAAACACAAAATCTATAATAATAATTATTTTAATATGGTTTATGGTTTAATGGTTTAGAGTTTTGTACTGTACAAAACGTCCACAGTATCTGCATACTCCATATGTGTTGACCCAGGTTTTAATCAGCAGCTGTACTTAGCAAGGGATCATGTGAGAGGAAAAAAAATAGAAATTGGTGAACGGATGGAGCATAGAGTGGACAGACGGAACAGTTCACGTTTCAAGCTTTAAAAGAGTGAGCTCTGTGCTGTAACAGTATGAAACAGATGCTCTTAGTGGTATTAAAACTCCATGTATGCGTCACTAGCAGCTTGCAGCTACTCTGAGCACTCTAGGACAAAGGAAATGAGGAACCATGGACAGCAGGCAAATGAAGAAATGTTTTACACTGGAGTGTATGTGTTCACTGACACATACATGCTTAAAGCGAGGACCCACATTTACTTTCCCATAGCTATTAAATATCCTTCTTTTTAAATTAAGCTGCCTTGCACCAGTCTTAACAGCAATCAGAATGCATCTCTAGCATCTCTGTGAATGTGACATAAGTCCCTCGAGATCAAAACAAAATGTACCATGCAGATCATAGAGATTTTTTCTTCATTCTCCCCTTTTAATCAAATAACTTTACTGTTATGTGGGCTATGCGTGCTGAATGACAAAATCCTCGCCTATAAACAAAAGCACTGCTGTGGAATGTGAGTCTTACACCTACTTATTTAAACTGCTGCTTGGCAGGATGTCTATGATCGAGAACTGACTTCAGAAGATGCATCCAGGAGGTTGTATGGGTTGTTAACAGTACTGAACTGCAATTTAAAAAGTTGATTTTGCACACATAGAATTATTCAAAAATTGTTTTTTAGCAAGCAATTTCAAGTAATATGGAAGTTGTAATTCATTTAGATAGCAATACAATTAAAAGATAATGGCATTATTCCCACAAATGACTAATCATGAACTTACATTTCTTGTAAAAGTGTCATTATATTGTTGTTGTTATTAATATTATTATTATTATTAAAAGCAATATCTTAAAGTCCTCAACAAAAGGTAAACAACGGCACTACAATACTATATCGGCAAGCATTCTTTTAGAAGTTAGGACTCTAGACTGCGACCAAAATGGTCGGATATGCAACCATTTTTTTGAGAATGTGCGAGTTAAAATGTGACGTGGTCGCATTTATGCCAGTGCATGGTCTGCTGCTCCATACGCCGTACAGCCGCGTTCACATTGTTGTGGAAGGCCAAATGGTTCATAAACAGGTGAATTTTAACTAGATCTGTCAATTGATTAAAAAAAATAACTAATTAATTGACTTAATAATTAAATAATTAAAGTTTTTTTCTGAAAATTAATCATGATTAATCTCACCTAACATTAAAGTTTTTAAATATACTTTTATATTGCAATAATTTCACATTCACTCTTCAAATTCATGTACAAACAACATAAAGACAGTATTTTTTTTATATTTGTTTAATGGCATCTTTTTTATGACTGAAGGCCAGTATCAATGATACCAATACTGATTTCTCTATAAAATTGCCCCCCCTCCAATATTTAACCATTGACTATAGCCATTCAACATTACAGTATAATTAAGAGCTATCAATTTTAACATTTATTAGACTTTAAAAATTTACTTCTAATTTAAGTGAACTTAAAACAATCTTCACATAAACCCATTATAATAAATGTCATATTTACCTGTGCCCTTAAGCAGAAATATACAGAAATTGAAATTGAAGTTATCAAACACTAAATTCAAAATTAAATATAGATGAATCCTTAAAGCTAGAAAAGTTCTTTTTTTCCTCTTTTTTTCTTTGTCCTTTGATTAATAGACATCACAGCAGCTGGTTATTAGGTTATTCTGGCTGTTATTTCTGCTGCTGCTGACCGTGACGCGGATCTGACACATATATGCTCTTTTGCTCCATACAAGATTGTATACATATATAAATGTAAATAAATGGTGTTGGGTGAAAATAGAGGATGAAAAATAATAGACAAGAACAGGAACTTGTAAGAGGATTTTGTGAGAGAGCAGGAGAAAGGATAAAGGATTAAATCAGATGTAAATCAGGAAAAAGAATGAGAGTTGAAAGTTTTCTCCTTATCTACAGTGTAATCACACACTCCCGGTACATCAATCTACTGTCTGATGAGACAAAATAAATATAGCCTAGTTGTTGTGGAAATTAAGATAAATTCATTTTGCAATTTTCCACAACTTGAAAAAAGGTGAGATTGAGATATAAAATGACACTGAATATGAGTTATATGTTTGGGAGAATCTGTTTTTTTTTTGTTTTGTTTTTTACCAAAAAATAAATAAAAACTATTAAAATCAAATTTTCTTGTATTATTGTTCATGAATTCATATGTATATTTGTCATATGTCTGGCAATGGGAAAATATTTGTTATGTTTATTTGACACAGAGCATCTATACAGAAAAGGGGGGAGGAGACAGAGAACCTACATATGAATGAGCAAGAGAGAATGAGAGATGGAGGGACTGTATTAGAGAGGAACAGATTGAGAGAGAATGAATGAGAACGTGAGCGAGAGAGGGGGGAAGAGAGAGAGAGAGACAGAGGAGGGGCGAGTGATGTCCAGAGATGGAAACACTCAATGTAATTTTCTGCAACAGAATCTAAACAGACAGAGTGAGAGAAACAAATCACAGATCCATAGAAAAGCATTAATGCTCATCAGTCATCACAGAGAAAAATGTCAATGGAAGCAGGCAGCATGGAAACCATTGAGGTTCCTCAAGACAAGATTGTCAAAAAGGTATGTCATCTTTGAGCCTCAGCCTATGAGATGGAGCACAACTGATTGAAAATGTATAAGTTTGGCAACCTGATGCAGATCTGACACGCATCGTATTTTCTCTCAACTTTCTTTACCTTTTCCACTTCAGGACTTAAAGTCTGAATCGGGTGTGTTAGATGAGGGAGACAGTGCTGGGCTGCTCCAGGACAGTTTGGAAAACCATTTCAGAGACATGTTCTTAAATGTGACTTATATAAAATATATTATGGACAGTTTTAAGGCAGCTTTAATCTCATTTTTGGTAACTTCATTACTTAACTGACCACGGCATTGCATGCACGTTTATTTCGTGCTTTGATATGAAAGGATACAGGCTACAGCGCGCATTTTCTGCAACAGAATCTAAACAGACAGAGTGAGAGAAACAAATCACAGATCCATAGAAAAGCATTAATGCTCATCAGTCATCACAGAGAAAAATGTCAATGGAAGCAGGCAGCATGGAAACCATTGAGGTTCCTCAAGACAAGATTGTCAAAAAGGTATGTCATCTTTGAGCCTCAGCCTATGAGATGGAGCACAACTGATTGAAAATGTATAAGTTTGGCAGACTGACACTATGTATGTGTAATGAACAATATATGAAAATGAAAAAGACAGGCTTGAAGTAAATCAGGGAGACCGGGGCTAGTTAGTTGTCACACTTTTTAGTCCAGTTAATGTTTCTTAGGGTAGGTTTTCTGTACGGGCACATAGCCTATAGTTTTGACAACTTTTAAACACCATTTAACCCTTATTGCAAAGATACAGTTCATTTAGCACAACATTTGTGTCCAATACATTTTGTCATAATATAAGGGGTAAATTGATTTTACAATGGAGCATGCCATTAAACAGCCTATTATATGTTTTTCAGCAAAATATAAACTGTAAAACAACACAAGACAATTCATGAAAGTAAAAATTTGACAAAAATAAATATATGTATACACACTACCGTTCAAAAGTTTGAGGTCTTTAAGATTTTTTAATGTTTATGAAATAAGTCTCTTACACTCATCAAGGCTGCATCTATTTGATAAAAAAATTAACAAAAAGTTTTAAATATTATTACAATTTAAAATAACTGTTTTCTATTTTATGTTTTTAAATTAATACTGTAATACTTTGTTTTCAGGATTCATTCATAATAATTTAACAACAAAAACTTAAATATTATTACAATTTAAAATAACTGTTTTCTATTTTATGTTTTTAAATTTATAATTTATTCTTGTCATTGCAAAGCTGAATTTTCAGTAGCCAGTTTTCAGTGTCAAATAAGCCTTAAGAAATTATTCTAATATGCTCTTTTGATGCTCAATAAATATTTATTATTATTAATATGTTGAAATGTTGTGCTGCACACTTTTCTTTTATTTTTTTCTTTTATTTTAATATTTTTTTCTTTCAAAAAGTTTTAAATATTATTACAATTTAAAATAACTGTTTTCTATTTTATGTTTTTAAATTAATACTGTAATACTTTGTTTTCAGGATTCATTCATAATAATTTAACAACAAAAACAAAAACTTACTGACCCCAAATTAAGATTATTGTATAATATAATAGTTTACCATAATTTAAATGGCAGTCTATAATACAATAATTTATGGGAGGACAGAATAAAAAGAAAAATCATGTACAACTACTGTTGTACAAGCATTTGTGCAACTGTACTTGCCTCTAGATCTAGTAGTTATTGATATATAATATAGCCCATGTGACAATTAGTCATGGTCTCCACATTTCATACTTGGAGCTTTTGATATGCTCTTTTGCTCCATACTGTAAATGTAGGGGTCCTTTAGGAAGAAGATAGAGAAGCTGAGGAGATGGAGCACTTCTTCAGGCGGTGGCAGCTTCAAACGGCCACCCAAAACTAAAACCCTCAGTCTGAACTCACCCACTGACCCTGACACAGAGCCCCTCGGAGTAGAGACGGAGCGCAGGAAACTCAGACCCATTGTGGCATCTGTCTTTGGTCAGGTATGGGCTTCTGTGTCACAGAAGTGATTCATGTTTTCATGTTGCGCTGAGGTGTGAGCTGTTGTACTGTCAGTCATGGTCTTGATTCAAACAAATGTTTTGGTTTGCTGAACTCTGGAATGGTTTATTAAGGATGACAATGCGTTAATTCAGTTCACAGGCAGTGAACATCAAAATGTTTCTTTATGAAGATAAACTAAAAACGGTGATCGGGTCTGTCATATACTACTCAAAAAAAAGTGCTGTGATTGCTAATGTAATATTAGCATATTCATTCATGTTGCAACAGTGCGTATTATGCTGATGGATACTGTGAAGACTGTCTAAAAGCTGTTCATGTGTGATTCTGAATGAGAGTCTCTATTTGTGAATGGGTCACATGTGGTAGCCTAAATGAGTTTTTGCTCTACAAACTCAAAGACCAGGATTCTGTAGTCTTATCATTTGTAGTTTTTGAGTTGTGCTCTTTAGTGTTTGATGTATAAATAGCTACATGATGTTAAATGGAAACTTTCACTTGATGTTACTTATTAGTTGGTATGACACTGTAGCTCTCCTGGTTTAGATCTCAAAGTTTTCCACACAAAAAAAAAAAAGCTGATTTCAAATGTTGAATTTGATCAAATACTGGTCAAAATATATCTGATGCCTACATTGTGCTTAGACATTTGTATTTAATAATAATCCTCATTGGGAGCTAAAATATTTTAATTGGTCAGGAGGAAGGAGAGTTATGCAGATATTAGACTATCACTAAAAAAAGGTGTACAAACCATTTTAAACATGAAACTGTAATGTAGATAGACTGAATTAGTATGTTATTACGTACAAAAAAAAACGTTTTTTTTGATACAATGGTACCATTGTTCATTGCTGAAAAATCTATAAAGAAACACAGAATTGTTCCCTTCATCTACACTCCCCTCACATTCACTCTTTCCAGTTAGAAGTTTATTCATTGTTAAACCATTTTACAAAACCATAATCATAATAATATTTTTTCTGACAAACTCTCTGCTTTCAGAGGATTATGGCTCTGTACTGGAGGAAAAGGTGAAAGAGTATTATGTATTATCTATTATTCACCACACCTCATCCTTTAAAGCTTGCATTCCCAAACATAATGAAAGCATAGCATATGAAACTAGCACAGTTTTCCATTAAATCTCTTTACTTCACTTTTCACTAGTCCACTAACATTCTTCACTAACTTGATATGAAGACCAACTCTATCAACCTTCAAATACTTTAAACGGGACTGACTTCATAACATTAATAATACTAATTAAAAAAAAAACAAATACAATAACACTACAAAAACACTACTTTTTTGGCTTTTAAGTTCTTTTTCAGACCCCAAAAAGAACATAAATGTTAATGACCGATTATCATTAAAAAGAAGGTAACAACAATATACCAAATTTTATCCTATGGCATGTGTCAGAATCTAATAAAAAATATACTGTATAGTCTTATGCCGAACATCTACAGTGCAGAGACTGAATCTTGGAAATTATATCATTCAAGTCGAAGAAAAACAACAACACTGAGAGGGTGGAAAGGAGGAGGAGTGAAAGGCTGGGAGAAGAGAGTGAGGGATGAAAGAAAAAGAATAATGAGAGATTGATAGAGAAGGGGAGGATTATATGGGTGAGATTAACGACTCAAGAGATCAGATCTAAAAACTGATTCACTCACAAGAACTCTCTTGTGAACACCCCAGCTTCGCCCATCGTAATAATAATATATCACACACTAGATGTGGGGACAGCTTTGTGATCATAGGGACATCCAACATACCACAAATTAAACACTAAACCCAACGCATGAGAATTTTCAAAAAGCCTAATAAATGTATGCAACAGTCCATTATCACAGATGTTGAAATAACAATGTTACTGTCTTTTTGCTCCATTGAAATGAATAAATATGTTTGTTTATTTAAGTACAGGAAATTGTATGTCCTGTTTGTTGGTTTATATAAAAACTAACAGTTTCAAACTTTTTTCTTTGGAAAATGAAAGTCACATTATTTATTTTTGCTATTTTTCAAGTGCTTTAAAAAATTGGTATAGAAATCATTTTCACTCAGAAATTGCCAAATTTCACAGACAATTACAAAGAAACATAAAGTAACATTGAATTACATTGAATTCAACTAAATTTTTAATTCGTAAAACAAAATATAAATTCATCACATTAAATATAATCTAAATACAGTGTAAAATAATCATAAAATATCTCAATATATATTGTGTTACATGGCTTCTTTTACACAAAAAAAAAGGAAAACATAACTTTCATTTCTTGTCAAATTAAATATTGTTCAAAAATATTTGTGTGACTTTAGGATACATCACATGCTGACAGCTACACAAACATTCTGCTTTCGGTTGACACCTTTTTCTCCTCTCTGCTTTGGTGTCTCCCTGTTTTTTGTCTCTTCTCTTGTGTTTTGGCTTTAATCCATCGATGGCCCACCAATATACAGCAGACAATCCAAATCTCCTCTATAGCCCACACACACATATACACATACACAAGTACAGCTTTTTGAATCAACAGAAACTAGACGTTCACCATCTGTAGGTCAGTTGTCTGGCTGTTTTACAATAGAATAATTTAATCCACCAATCAGAGACCAGGTCTCCACGGGTAACCCAATTAGGAGCCACTGTGTACAGTGTCGCCGGCTGGTTCTTTATTACATGAAAAACAATTATGAGTGAGAATTCCATGGAATACAAACCTGTGTTCCGCAGAAGAAAGAATATCAAACAAGTTTGGAACAACATGAGGGTGAAATAAAGACCAATTTTCACTTTTGGGTGAACTATCACTTTAAAATGTGACGTTTTAATGTAAATCAGGGTTGTGTGCCAATAGGAAGACACCAATCTGCCTGTGCACATTATGTGTGAGTAAATAGGATATAGAGAAAGTGGATGTTAGCTTGTTAATGTGTTAAATGTACAATCATAGATGTCTCAGAGTGAGAAATGTGTGTTGAGCAGATTATCCCCTGCTGATTTATTAATGTGAAATTTAGTCTACTGATGTAAGACACACTCTTTGATGCACCAGTGCTTTAACAAAGAGCGACTGACTCTTTGACGTCAGTGTGGATTACATGTATGCAGTATACACATAAATGCATACATGTTTGCAGTTGTTGTTTCCAGACAGATGGAGGGAATGAGAATGGCAGACTCACTGATACCTAGAAATGAATGAATGAAAGTGTATAGGCATGCTATAGAGATGCTGCCGTTGTTATTGGGTGCAAATATTAGTCAGACCACAAATCTCAATCGTTTGGTCTTATATTTATAAAAAATGTTCCTCAAAGACTAGGGTTTGTGTGTGTTGTCTGTCAGGGCTATTGTCAAGGTGGAACAAACGGGAACACTGAGAAATGTTATAATCCGGGTTTTCAATTTATGATCAAAACAAGTTCTGTTGTAAATATAAATTGACGATACTTGGACATTTTGCTGTACAACATAAATTACAAACACCCATACTGAAAACGCACATTTTGAAGCAATTATGGTTATTTTTAAAAACGTATATAAGTAGTAAGGTGAGCATGCAGTACGTTGTACAACAAAATATCTGTGGTATGTTTACCACAGACCTAATACCCATGAATTGAAAACCCTATTATAAAAACCTCTTTGGAAAATCTCAAGGAAACCCATGGCAAAAAAAAAATACCGTCTTGTACCGTGAAACTGGTTTAATTTGGAAAAATACCGTGATATACATTTTTGGTCATACCGCCCAGCACTAATGGATATGCTTCGATACAGCACTCTGAACATCTTCTTTAGCAATGAACTTTTGTGGCTTACCCTCCTTGTGGAGGGTGTCAATGACTCTTCTGGACATCTGTCAAGTCAGCAGTCTTCCCCATGATTGTGTAGCCTACTGACCCAGACTGAGAGACCGTTTAAAGGCTCAGGAAACCTTTGCAGGTGTTTTGAGGTAATACTTTTTCACAATATTCAAATTTTCTGAGACACTGAATTTTGGGTTTTCATTATCTGTAAGCCATAATCGTCAAAATTTCCACAACAAAAAAAAGGCTTGAAATATTTCACTCTATGTGTAATGAATCTATATAATATATGGGTTTCACTTTCTGAAATGAGTGACAAAAAATATTGACCTTTTTCATGATATTCTAATTTTTTGAGATGTACCTGTATATGAACTAGTGTGACTGTAACACAAAGCGTGTTTTTACAAATACGTGAAATAAAATCAATAATTTAGCCACAATGGAGTAAAAACACAGACACCAAAGAAGGGGTGACACTCTAAGGGGCCGTTTACACGACAACGTTTTCAGCCAAAATCGGGAAACTTTTTATGCGTTTTGCCTGTTCGTTTACACGACAATGGCGTTCTGGGGACTGAAAACGCATATTTTTCAAAACGGGTTTCAAAGTGCACGTTTTTGAAAACGCCACCGTTATCGTTTTCGTGTAAACACCCAATACTGGAATCTTTGAAAACGGTGACGTCATGCACGTGCGTAGTACGTGTTAGGTTTTGGGTTTTTTTGTAGTACGTGTTAGGTATGTAGACATGCGCAATACGTGTCGATTTTAAAGGCAAGTGCGAACAAACATACACAACAATGGCAGAGTATATGGTACTGTTGTTGCTGCTCAAGAGTTTGCTAACGCTTCTTCTGCAAAGTGTGGATTTACTTCACCAATATTACAACCAACAGCGGAGATGCATCATACACAACATATAATCGTCACTTCCCTACAGGTACTGTTTACTAACAAGGTGACAGCGCCAACTACTGGCCTGGCATACGTAATACAGCGCTTTTGGCTGTTTTCGTGGAAATGTGTAAACGCAAATCGTTTTGAAAACGTTGTCGTGTATACGTGAAACTTTTTAAAAACGCAAGGGAAAAACTTTTCCGTTTTTGACTACATCGTTGTCGTGTAAACTTAGCCTTAAACTTCAAGAGTACAAAA